TGTCTGAAATGGTATAGGGTTTCCTGCCTAGGCAGGGGGTTGGACTAGAAGACCAAGGTCCCTTCCAACTCTGCTATTGTATTGTATTGTTTTTAATGTTTATGAATTAAGACTGTTATCTTGTTTAGGGTTGCTAAATTTTGTGATTTCACTTTTTTCTCATTTAATAATAAATCTGCCTTAATTTTTTTAAAAATAAATGGTATGTAAGCGATTTCAATAATTAAAGAAATCAACAGCTTTGGTGGCACTTTTAACATACTGACCAGAAGCACCCAAACTACCCTTCTCATAAGCATGGACTATTGCATGTTGTATAACTATGTCTTTTCACCTGGTTTCATCATACCTGTTATTAAAAAGCATTATGTGAAAGTCATAAATCACCACATTAATGATAAGAGAAAGAAATCAATATATATGGGCACATTTTGTAACAACAGCTTATGAAATATTGTAACTTGGAATATAAGAGTAGTAAATGATAAAAAGAACCAATGAAGTGAAAAGAAAGTTGCATGTTACATTCCAGGGAATATGGGAAAAACAGAGGAAGGTTCTAAGGAAATTGTGTAATATTCTGAATAAATACAACCCAAGGGGGTAATTATTCTGCTAGGTGACATAAGGAAACAGGATGTGAAAGCTGCTTGGAACAATGAAAATTATTTCACATTTTTATCCTTTTGCAATCAAAAATTTCTTGGCAGCTTAATTACAGAGTGCTACAGAGATGTGTGGAATTATACTAATGGGAAGTGTGAAAAAAGATGCTTGATAAAATGATCAACTGAAAAGAGAGAGGCTGTGGCTGGCAGGGGGAAAGCATGTAAAAGAATGGGAGTGAGAAAATATATAGTACAATGTATATATTTTAGTCAAAAGCCAGTTGGTGATTAAAGCACCAGGTTACAAACCAAGAGTCCACAAGTCAATTCCTGTCACAACCAATGAATCAACACACAGCTGATCTGAAAAAAATGACCTGCACTTAAGGAGAAATGCTGGGAAAAGAAAGAACAATTAAGAGAAAATGCAGAGCAATTTTGATGGACATTATATTGTTTTGAAAATGTGTAAGAAGGCAAAAAAAGAACTAAAAGCAAAACTCATAAAATGACATTGAATGGAACTAAAGTGGGGGGATGCTGGAAGGAGTATTTCAGAGCATTTGGAATCATAATGGTATATCAGAAATACAAATGAAATGAAAGCTACATTCTGTATGTAAATGACTTACAACAAATTGAAGCTAAGGAATGATAATGCTGTAAGAATGCTGAAAAATGTAAAGATGTAAGTGAAATATGGACGTGGTTTGCTTACCTAGGGGCTGTGCAACTCTGTGAAGAATATCAAAGATTGTTGTAAGAATGCCATTATTCTTTCCCTTTACAAAAGGAAAAGTAACAAGAGTGAATGTAAAAACTATAAAAATATTGGTGATTAAATGTACCTCAGAAGATCTTTTATAAAATAATCAAAAGGATACAAGAGGTGACAATACTCTAAAATTAATAAATGCAATGCAGCATTATGCTTGGCAATGGATACACAAACATTTTTACTCTTCAGCAAGTCACTGAGAAATGTTACATGTCTGTGACACTGAATATATTGGTTGCGGAATACAACAGCAGCTATAATGGAAACAAAACATGCATAGGGAGAAATGGAATAGTTAGTCCTCAATTTATGACAACAATGGAACACAAAATTTATGTTGCTAAGTAAGACATTTGTTAAGTGAGTTCTGCCCCATTTTACAATTTTTCTTGCCATGGTTGTTAAGTGAATCACTGCAGTTGTTAATAACACAGTTGTTAAGTGAATCTGGCTTCCCCATTGTCTTTGCTTGTCAGAAGGTCGCAAAAGGGGATTGCATAACCCTGAGACACCACAACCATCATAAATATGAGTCAGTTGCCAGGCATCTGAATTTTGAACACCTGACCATGGGGATGCTGCAACAGTCATAAGTATGAAAATGGTCCTAAATCACTTTTTTCAGTGCCATTGTAACTTTGAATGGTCACTAAGCAAATTGTTATAAGTTGAGAACTATCTATACCTGGAAAGTTCAATGGTTCAATATTAGGAATTAGGAATAGGATAAGAATGTGTGAAGTCGGTTTAGTTGTAAAGTGTATTCATAAATAAAAGTATACAGAAAACTAGTTCTAATAGCAGGTGTGTTTGTTGTAGATGTGACTGTACATATACTTTATATATAATTTATATGCAGAAGATGCCTTGTGGTTTCCTGAGAACCCAGACGATTTGCAGAAAATTTTAGATCAATTGTATGATGTTACAAGATATATGGATCTTATAATAATGTATCAAATCTCAAAGTTTTTACGTTTGACAGGAGAAACAGATTGAATTATTGCAAGTTATGTATAAATAGTGAAAAAAACCAATACCAGTCCTCCAACAGTGATGATATGTTTGCTATCACCTTTTGGAAGAAGTGTTTCAAACATGAGTACAATGTCTCTATGCTATTCATTAGTCCTTTTTTTCAGGCTTCCATGTGAACTAGGAAAAAAGGATGGTGATGCCTTAAGAGTTGCATTAATGTTTATTGAGTAGATTTTTTTAAGCAGCTTCATCAGAAGTTGGGATGCTTTAATGAATAGCATAAAGTGCTGCACTCATACTTTTGTAAGTTCCATAGCACTTTATACCAAAAAAAAGTCAAAGTGTGCTCTAATGTACGGTATATGCTGTTTTGTCTACAATAATGTTCTAACAGTATAGCATAGCACAGCAGTTGTCAAATAGTGACAGAAGTGCAAAGTTTTGGGAAGGGAGAAGGAAAAACTTCACTAGAAAATTAAGACACGATGGTTCCATCAAATAGAGAAGTCAAAGGAGGAGCTGAGTTAATTGTTCTTCACTTTAATCAATGAAGGAGAAATAATGAGATTAAGATGCAGCTGAAAGAACCCAGTTTAGAAATGAAGAAAACTAACTGTCACTATAGGAGGCCATCAAATCTGTTCCCAAAGGAGTAATCATTTCAGACATAAATAATTTGAAATACTAGCAATGTGCTACAGACTGGGCTAGATGTAAAGTTGAGTTCTGTTATTTAAGACACAAAATCTATTATTTGTACCAACTGTGATATGTAATACTGGTTCTCATAATAAAACCTCAAACTTAGTATGTGTAAGATAGATAATATCCCTAAAAAAATTAGCATAGCATCCTAGTTATAATGTAAAGATTTCTTTTTCCTCCTACTCTCATTACTTAATATCCAGATTGGAAAATAGTTGTGAATAATTTGAATGTTTATTATTTTCCCACATTTTAATTAGTCCTCGGAAAAATATTACTCTACTATGAATTAAGGTTCCTAAAACTTTGATTCTTAGAGAAAAATATAGTTTTTAATACTAAAATCCAATGTTTGGATTTTAGACTAGTATTCTAAGCCACAGCAACAGTGGTTTAGAATCCTAAACCAAGATTTCAGCCAATATGGCCATTGGAAGTTCTGGGATTTGTAGCTGAACGTCACCAATAGGAAAAGCTGATCTGTTCTGAGAAAGTGAGATTTTGCAGAGAAATGTGTTGATTATTGAATTTAGTAAAATATAGAGCACTTATGACTAAGCCTTGCTGTCCATCTTTTTCCATAAGGTTTTTCCCCCAAAGAATAAATCACACACAATAAAATCAAAGAAAGATGGTTATAGTGTGGATTTTGACTTCCCAAGTTTCCTAGGTATCATAAACATTATTGGAACTCTTGTTTTGGGGGTCCCCAATATATGGAGAACATCAAAGTTGAGGAAAACTGCATTAATCAAGTCTTATGTGTCACATTTTGTGGTGTCCAAACTGCAATGTGAGGAGTTGCAGTTTGCAAGATCAAAAACAAAAGCAGGCATGTCAGAATAGACATTCGTACCACAAACTCCTAGCTCTGAAAAATCATCAGGCTAGATGAAAGGAGAAATCCTACATATGATGCTCTATCCTAATATGGCACAAGTCAAACACGTATATCCAATAGTCTAGGAGTATATATGTTTGACATTCCACCAAGGTATATACTGGGAATGGATGAAGTGTGGGGGTCTATAATAGGCCAATGACCGTGTGCTCTTCACAAAGGAGCAGAAACCTGCTAGGCCCAACTGTTGGAATATCACTTACGTGTGGATTATCTCCCTTCATATTCCAAAGAACATCAGGAAGCAGAAAAGTGATTTGATTTGCAGTACAATTTACACAAATATCCATCAGTGTCACACTAATGAGTTTATCATAAAAAAACCCTGCAGCTGAATCTCTTAGATCCTTCCTCATCATCAAATTTCTTATCTGAGAAACTTAATGACAACTAATTTCCTCTCATTTAGGATCTCCTAGGACTCCCAGTCATCTCCACAACTTCTTAGCATGCTTAAAATATACATGGTAGTTTCAGTGCCTTATTTTAACTATTGGGGCTTCTCTTGGATTTGAATTCAACACTGCATTATATCAAAGCCCGGGTTTTCCTTGGTAATTTTCTTTTCTTTCTATTACCAGAAAAGAGCAAGTATTGTGAACATTTAAAACTTTACCCATAAATTGCCCAATTCTGACATGTGAAACATCAGAAATTCTTAAGAACTCATGGTCCCCAGCACTGAGGACAATATAACAGTCGAGGCATGGTCTAGAAAAAAGGAAGGACTGGCTTGTAGCTTTTCTTTCAGGTCCCTTTGCCTGGATAATCAGTGCAGTTACTTGCCTTGCTTGAGAGGAAAAGCTACACTGTCATGGATTCTTCTGATGAAATACAACTCTAAAAAAGTGAGTCGGGATTGATCCAGCTAGATACTGTCAAGTTGACCTGGGCAGTTGAAGGTGGAACAGGAAAGAAAAAGCCCTAGTATCTCCTCCCCACCCATCCTTTATTTTTTTTATTTTTTTGCTTGTGGTTGTCAGTCTGCAATTATGTGCCATGAATCTGATGATGGTTTTGATTGCTCCATATCAAGTTTATTACATGGAGTCAAAAGCTGTGGAGCTGTTCGAGGGAAGATGTGAGGAATACTTTCAGACTCACAAAGATAGGTTGATACCAGTATTTGTCTGCTAAACCGTCTCTTGCCTAACCCATCATATCTGTGAGTCAGGGCACTTCCCTTAAGCGGTTTTCACACTTTTAGAGTGAGGTCTCCACACAGGATCCATTCCGATGGAGGTGGCGGTGATCATGGTTGAGACAGCCCTCGTTTCGATGTACAATAAGGACGGGGAAATAGAGGGCATCTTGGTAAGGAGGAGGTTCCTCCTCCTCCATGGTGACTTGGCTGGAGAGGCGAGTCTGCTCAGTTGGACAGCTTTGCTCATTTAAGCTCTCACTCCGACTTTGCCAAAGGCAGCTGCGCCGGGAGCCATACAGGCGGCCCAAAGAGAAGCGACTGCTGCTAAAGGGGATTCTGGGGCTGCCATTGCAGATGCTGAGAGCACTACGGGAGAAGATGGAAGAGCTACTTATAGTCCTATGGCATTGTTCACAGTTTTGCCTATAACTGCCATAGTGGCAGGAGGAGTAAGTAGTGCAACCAGACAGGCCTACCAAATCCATGAGGACAGCCTCTGAGTAGCTAGGCACCAACTGCTGGTTGGAGCGGATATGCCACTCTAGTTCTGTACTATCCACTGTGTTGACTCGAGGCATCCGTCGGCAGAAAGGACGCTCTTCAGCTGGTGTTACTGCCACAGAGTCAAATCCAAAGAGTTTTTCTATATGGTAGTGGACATAAGACGTGCGATACTCATTCAAGACTCTCAAGGGCCAGGACAAAGTCAAGAGAGCAGCCACCCAGAAAACATAGTGAGAAATATACCAAGGTAAATTTTCTGGGTCTGAGAAAGCCACCATGTACTCTTTGAAGTCCACATTCTTCAGGTGCATGCCTTCCCTTGCCTCCATATAGTCATCTAGTCCCTCGTTCTCTGTGAAGAAACGGGCCCTCTGAGTCAGATAGGAGTTCTCTGATTCTACATTGGCAAAGCTGAAGCACTTGGTGAAGCGAAGCCGAGTAGCTGGGAAACTCTCCAAGTCAATTAGGTCCTTTGAAATGTCCTTTGCCCCACAGTTAGAATAATCAAATTCTGCTTCTGCCACATGGGTGTTGACTCTCTCATGGTAGACTTGGGTGGTAGTATAAGCGTCCCCATTGCGATAGCGGGTGACCTGACGTGTCCTTCTGACATAATGATAGCTGATGGCTTTCCACCAGATGCATGGGGTGGCCTGCTGCATCCTTTGGACACGTTCATGCACACTGTCCACATCCACTTTGTACTGGAGCTCATTGCGAGTGTAGCAGTGCCAACACTCTACCAGGTAGACCACATAAAGCATCACCAAGAAGGCCAAAGGAATATAGATATAGCCATTAGAGCAAGGGCTGTCATGGTACATCATGGACTTTCCCTTATAAGCACTATCAAATGTCAACCGGGTCACCTTTGTTACGTGGCACCAAGTCATTGCTCCCATGCAGCCGTACATTAAGAAGGAGAGCACCAGGCACTTCCAGTGTGACTCTCTACAGAGTGACTTGCTCAGCGACTGCTTCACTGGCCGTTGCTGCTTTGCATGATGAGGAGACATCGTGGATATTGTGGATTTGAAGGGGAAGAGAGCAGAGAGAAAACAGAAAAAAATAATTACTATATAGTGAAAGAAAGGGAAACCAAGAGAGCTGCATAACTGTCTAAATTAGCATTAGCATTAACTACAGAATTAGTCACAGATGGGCATTTTCAGAGTCATGAATAGTGGCACTCAGGATAAATACACTCAGCTTGTAGGCATGAAGAACAGGAGAACTGAAGTTATATTATGCATAATTGTTTCCCAGAACTCACATTCAAATTACTATAGCATCCTCAAATTACTACAGTAGAAGATTGCAACAATCCTCTCCCAAGCTCTGAGGAAATGAATTATTGGTGCATGTTGATATGATCTTCCAGGTCTGCCATCACCCTCTTTGAGTCTAAATGCAGACATTTTGTGATTCATTTATTAAATATATTGCCTCTTACAGGAAGATGGAAAGGATTGCCCCATTCTCCCTCTTTCCTAGTCCCACTTCTGCCTTTACAGACATTTTTTCCTACCATTTTATTTCTAAAATATGAACATGCTCTGACAATTTGCAGTCATTTTTTCTATAATTGTGAAACAATGGACCTTTCTCTTGTCCAACTATTTTCTGTTTTCACATTGAAAAGGTTCAAGAGAGGTTCAATATCAATTATTGGTATTTATCAAATAGGTTTATGGAGCAAGCCTAATTAAAGTCTTTTGCCTTTCTAGGTTTATGTATCCCAGAGAAATATAAAGAAATGAATATAAAGAAACAGTAAAGGCTCAACTACTTCTAAGGGAAAGATTGCAGATTTCAATCCTTCTTAATTTCCTTTGCAGACTCCACCTCTGCAGATCCAGCCGAGACACAGGGGGATATCTTGGCAGACCATCTCTGGGCTGAGTTCCAGGACGTTGCCTCAGGGGATGTGGACAAGACCATACGAGCTGTGAGTGCCTCCACCTGCATACTGGACCCGTGTCCCTCCTGGCTGGTTGCCAACAGCAGTGAGGTGACACAAGGCTGGATCCAGGTGGTCGTTACCGCCCCCCTTCGGGAGGGGCACTTCCCCGCCGCACTTAAAGCGGCGGTGGTGAGACCCCTCCTGAAGAAACCATCCTTGGATCCAGCCGTTCTTAACAACTACCGTCCAGTCTCCAACCTTCCCTTTGTTGGGAAGGTTGTTGAGAAGGTGGTGGCCTTCCAGCTTCAAGGAAGCTAGTTATCTTGACCCCTTCCAGTCCGGCTTCAG